CGGTGTGAGAGCAGCAGCTGAACCCGGTAACACCACCAGCAACAGAAGCTGGCAGGGATCCGGACTTTAACAATCAGCTTTGGTGTAAAGTGAAACGCTGTTTATAACATAAAGTTATAAATCCAGAGGGGTGAATTTAGGCAAAGTCAGCAACATGTTTACATCAGAGACCAGCTGTAGAGAGAATGTAAGCTAACGTTGGTAAGCTAGTTCACATACCGCTCTCTATGAGCCCCGCTAGATGCGCTACTTCTGATAACTGAACTGGGCATGAACTAGTTGAAGGAATGCTGGAGGAGTTGTGTTTTTGTTTTGATCGCAAAAACAATTTCAGGCTCTACCTTTCCCTTTGTTTAGTACTCGTGTCGCTCAGTGTTTACATGCTTTTGCCGTCCACCACGGTGGACTCACGTGGTCAGGTGACGTCGGTGTAAACGGTCAATAGGGAGCCTAAGTTTACTTCTGTCACGATTTGGTGTAGTAGGATGTTTAGGACCCAAAATGCAGAAAACCAGATGAACCAGGCAGGAGGTAGATGATGAAAATAAATCCTTTATTTAGGAGTAGTCCAAAGGCAGGGAGCCAAAACCCAAAAATCTTAACCGAGCAATAAAAACTCTAGAGGACTAGGGACACTGGAAACACTAGATGCTAGGAACAGGAACAAGCCTGACAAGAACAACAAACAAACATTAATGGACCGACAAGAACACAGAGACAGACAGGGCTTAAATACACTGGGAGGAGCAATCAGGGAAACAGGACGCAGGTGTGTGGGGTGAGCTGCTGGAGGGAAGGCAGGTGACACTAATCAACTCAATGGGGAAAACAGAAACAGAGGATGGCAAATACCTTAACACAAAACTAAACAACAATTTCCTAAAGACGGAGGGAAGGACCCACACAAACTAGCTGGAGGAGGACATAGTACATACACACACTGAGCTGGGGACAATGAGGCTGGAGCTGACCTGGGAGGAAACAGTAAAAAAGACATCAGACACTAAACTGACACACAGAAAAAGGACACAAGAGGGCGCCAAAGGGCTACAACATAAGACACATAACAGGGATGCAGACAAGGACACATGAGGGCGCTAAGAGAGCACAAGGGGGGAACCTGGAGTGGAGCACAAGAGGAGCTGGGGAACAAAGGGACACAAGAGGGAATCTAGAGAGGGATGGAGGACACCAGGAGGCACATAAAGGAAGGGGGCTGACGCAGACCATGACAACTTCCGCATCATGGGTCCCCGGAAGAATGAAAAAATGAATGCACGCCAACGGGGCTAAAAACGCTATTTTATAATTCCGCTTGTTTTGTGCCATGGATTTCACATATGATGATTTTTAAAGACACATTTTGATACCAAGAACGCGCTTATTTTCAAACGGGGGGAAATGAAATTTTAGGTTTTGTGTGAAAATAAGTCCAGGACTACAGACGCGCCTCACAAAAGTGACGTCATCGAACCAGACATGGAGGAAACGGAGGGAAAAGGGCTGTAAGTTCAGGAAACTTCCCACAGGAGGAAAGAACCTCCATAAATCTGGTCATTTGGTGAGTAGCAGCTACGCCAGGGGAGAGGAGATTATGTGGTGACATCACATGTGCAACATATCAATTTCTAGTTTGTAGTCATGCTAATTACAAACTTTTACACGCTGATAAATCTCAAAGTACGTGACTGGCGTGGTCGGAACACCCATCATTACTTTTCATTTTAACTGCAGTACAACGTGTGTGTGATCCAGGGTGTAAGGCAAAGCAGATTAGAAAATAACATTTTTAGCCCCGTTGACCTGCATTCATTTTTTCGTTCTTTCAGTGACCCGTGATGCGGAAGAGACTTTTTATTATTTATTTATTTATTTATTTATTCGTTTATTTATTTATTCGTTTATTTATTTATTTATTTATTTTCACTGAGAATATTGAAACAACAGAATTCCAATAAAATACAAAATTACAATTATTTGAATAAAGTCACTGTTGGGTATTTTTGTAATTGTACCTTTTGGAGGCCTAAAAGATGCCCATTTTGTGTTATTGACACTGCATGAATCTCTGTTTTTGCCAACTGTTGTTGTTCATGAAAGGTTGAGCAAGGAGGTTGATTGCAACTGAAACCTTTGTACCTCTGTAACCTGAGAAGGCCCCGCCTTCTCCCCCATCCTTTGCTGTGAATAAAGCCCCTGGGAAACTGAGGAGACTTGGGAGTGACGTGGGGAAGCCTCGGAGGAGGTTCCTCTGCGTTAACTCTCCATATTTTGGGGACTCAGGGTAAAATGTCTTCCTTGTTGTCATGTGTGTTTAATTCAGGTTCCAGGGTTATGGAGATTAAATATTACCTAACATTCTGGTCTCCTGATGGAGAATGCAGGTGTGCAGAGCTGGTGAGGTGAAGGCTTTGAGGCTGGAGCAGAGGGGGGCTGGTTAGCTCCATGGAGGGGTTTCTGCGCCCAGCTCTCACATGACAATTCATGGACATTACAAATAATCTCTCTCTCTCTCTGTGTGTGTGTGTGTCGTCCTTTAAGGTAATATGGGATAAATCTAATTACCTATCAGTCACACCTCCAACAAGTTATTAAATTAGAACAAAGAAATACCTTAATGTGTCAGATATATTAATTCAGATTTTACTAAAAAGAAAGAAGGAAAAGAATAAGCAAAATAAAGTAACGACAAATGAACTCAAGACAACCTAAGGAGAAACAATTTTTCTTATTAAAATAAGGTAAAAGAAATTCAGCAAGAGTTAAGCTGACCTAAGAGCGTATGAAGCCTAGTAGCAAGGGGATTTTCCAACAGTTTCAAAGATTTTTTAAATAAGGAGAGATCATTTTTAGAGCAAACCATGAAGGGAGAGATTTGGCATATCGACATCTATATACATTATATTTTTTATATATAATAAGATTGTTAACCAAAGTTTCTGTACTTTATTGCCTAATTTTAGACCAAATGAAATATTCTGAGGGGACCAAAAGGTGGCCTTACTAAAAATGGAGGACACTGACTCATGGAGAGATTTACATAACTGTAAGACTGTGTCACATTCGTAGAACAGGTGCTCCAGATTTGTTTTACATATGTAATAATTTTCAACCATAATTTTAAATCTACTATTAATACATTTGTTAGAAGGATAAATATTATGTATAGTTTTAAAATGAACCTCTCTACATTTTAGGGGAATTGGAAATTTTAAGCAACTCGTCTGAATAATAGATATTTCAGCTTTATTATAATCTCTACAGATTAATGAGCTCTGCTATACCAGGATACAGAGTTCTGACCAAATACGGCCTTAAAAATGTATGATTGCATTTCTCATTTACTAGGTCTATACTGTCTAATTTAGCTTTATGTAAATTTGGAGTTTGTATGTTTAAATTGTTTTTATTGATAGGATCAGAACCATTGGGATATTTTGTGTAAACGTCACTAGAACAGGTCAAATTATATTTATGAGTTAAAATCATCCAAATCAAGTATATTACCCATACCATCCATCAAATGCACAACAGACCAAAATGATTTTGTCATCCACTCTTGTACAAACATAGATTTACCCCTGCTCACCCTGTTGGTCCTCAGTGGGACGTTGTGTGGACTGAAATTATGTTTAAACATCATCTGCCAGTTTAAAAGAAGCGGTTTATGAAACTTTGAGAGTTTTACAGGCAGTTTAGATATTTCAGAATCAGACCAATAAAAGGTCAATACCTCCGACTTTACTGAACACAAAAGAAGGTAAGGCGAGCCAAATATCCTCACCATTTTTTAAGAAAGATTTCAGCCAATTAATCTTCAACATCCCGTTCATAATCTTAAAGTAATAGCCCTTACACCCCCATCTTTGTAGTCCTTTACTAAGTCTACATTTCTGATGTAGGGATGTTTATTTCTTCACATGAAATGAAAATTATTTCTATTAATTTCTTTCATAATTCTAGCTGGGATGGGTAGGGAGTATGCTGGATAGATTAGTCTGGATAATGATTCATTTTTAGTTAACATTGTTCTATCAAATACTGTTAGGTCCCTTTGTAACCAATTATTTAAAATAATTTAGCCCTTATCAATGGGATCTAGAATATTCTTTTTTTCCACTAATTTCTACACATTTAGTTATCCAGATTCCTAAATATTTAATCTCACTTTTTACAGGCATACCATACAGTGAAGAGTCAGAATGGCTGTGGATAATCATTGGTCCACATTTACGTGCAAACCAGAAGCTTGTGAGAAAGGCTTAATTGTATTTAAAGCTAATTTGTTCTTATTTTTTAGAAAAAGAGTCGTATCACCAGCTAGCTGACTAATAATTAATTTGTGGTTGTTTATGTCTAATCCTTTAATATTTGAATTTAAAACAGTTACAGCACAGTGGCTATAATAAGTAACCAGAGTGAGATGCTGCAGCCCTGTCTGATTCCTCTTTCTACCTGGAATCTGGAGCATTTACCTTCTGGAAGGGAAACACAACTATTAATATTGTGATGTAACATCGCAATCACATCAATGAAAGGTTTCCATAACCCAAGGTGTTTGAGAGATTGAATAATAAAGTCATGTTCGATGGAATCAAAGGCTTTGTGGAAGTCCAGAAACATCATATAACCATCATCTTTAATTAGGTAAATGTCATCTGAAAGGTCCAGAACCAAGTGGATATTATTATGGATCGACCTTCCTTTCACAAATCCTGATTGTGTTGGGCTAATTATTTCTGAGATACCAGTTTTTAATCTAGTTGCTAAAGCTTTAGTAAAATCCTAGTCTGTATTTAGAAGGATAATAGGTCTCAGATTATTTAATACTCTTTTATCTTTCCCAAGTTTCGGGAATCAACGTTATTAACCCTTATTTCAACGTCCCATCAGCTCCTTTTGACTTATGCATACCAATAACGCCTGGAATGCGGAAGTGACAGAGTCTGCTCTACACCAACAGGTGGCGCTAATGGGATTCTCACGTCACTGCCATCAGACTCCAACGAAGAAGAAGAAGAAGAAGAAGAAGAAGAAGAAGAAGAAGAAGCTGCGTCCACCAGCGCGATGGTTTCTGTACAGGTCAGTCATTTCGCAGCAAGGAAACTTAACATGATGATGGCGGCGCGGCAAAGCAGAGTCGTTTGCTACCAGGTAACCTTCTAAAGTGAAAGTCAGGATGAAGTAAACACGCAAGAAGACGGTGACCTGATTTGAATTCCTTGCAGCTCCGGAGGTTGTTTCGCCTTCAGCAGGCTGGAGTCCCCCGCTGCCCGCCCGCCGCCGCTCAGGTCAGTGCTGCTGTCCGGGTACTTATTTAAGCGAAACACCTGTACCCCTGGGCGCTAGGAGGGGCTGTTAGCTTAGCATGGCTGCATAAAAACTAAACCTCTACAAACACCGTGTATAGATGAGTATTTCAGGTAAAACAGAAGAGATGGATGTCTTGTGTGTGTGAGGGTTTCTGCTATAAACCACATCATAAACAAGATGGCTGACACGTCAACAAACAGAAGTCAAAGGGCTTTATGCTGGATCCACATTCACTCATGGGTCATCTCCTTTCTCTGTCAGTCTGATGGGAGGAGGCCTGATGGTCGTTGGAGCAGAAACCTTCACCTCACACCCAGGAGCCCGGGGAACCCCACCCACGTCCAGATAAGGTAACCATCTCTGTGCTCCGGGGTCTTCTGCATGGTCGGAATAAATCAGCTGACGTTGGGTCCTTCTCTGACAGAAACCTGTCAGAAGCGACCTATGAGAAGCTGGCGGACGAGACTTTGGAAGGTCTGGCAGAATACTTTGAAGACCTGGCAGACGAAGATTTTACAGGAGCAGAATACGACGTGGTCTTCTCAGTAAGTTTTCCTGCTCACGTCAGACCACTTCCACCTGCTGCTGGCTACATTCACCCTGATATGGTAATACTACAACTAGGGCTGAAACGAATCCTCGAGTACCTCGAATAATTTGAGTACAAAAAATCCTCGAGTCAAATTCTCTGCCTCGAAGCTTCGTTTAATTCATGTTTAATTAATTCATGGCTATGCAATCACCCAGAGTCGTGTTTCACCCGGACCGAAATAAGTGACGCACATACACACTGCACTGAATGCACACGTGAGTAGCGAACGCAACTTAACTTTCTCTTAAGTCATGGCGGACAACGTGGACCCCGGTGGAGTGAGAAAAAGACAGAAAATGTCAAAGATGTGGGACCATTTTTCACGTCGTAAGGCGGAAAACGTAGTCCAGTGTAAATACTGTAAAATGGATTTAGCCTACCACAACAACATATTCCTCAATGCTGCAACCTGACCAGGAAACATCCACATGTAAATGTCCCTTCTGCAAGCGGACTCGGAGCCTCTACAAGATAATGCATTTTAGCCTGTATTTCTATATATTCTGCTGACACTGTGCGACTTTTTCATTTGTAGCGCTCAGTTTCAGCTCACACCGTACGTCTGCTAGCAACACGTTGGTCTTAAAATGTGCTAAAAATAGCAGTTTTTACAACACGTCGGACTTTTTACTGTGTTGTTGTTGATGTCCGTTGTCCCTCAGGATCGCTGCAGGAGGACACCGGTATTTATGAGTGGCGGAGGAAAATGAAAGGAAGTAAATAAATGTTTTGTGATCAGTATAATTTGACATAACCACGGCAAACATGCTTTCTCGACAATCCTTGTTAGTGTGAGACAAAAAAAAGTGTAGAAATTAAAACAGACGTGTGTTAATAGGGAAACAGCTGGCGAGCCATGTTTGCACATGCGCCGTGAGCGGTTCTGGTGCTGTTTGGGCCGCAGCCGCTCGCATTTGTTTACTGTGAAGTAAAGTTGAAGTGCTGAAGTTTTGAAAACTAATTTTGAATAAAACTTGAAGAATAACTGGCAATTGCTTTCTCATTTCAAGAGGTCTTTCATATTTTATAACATGCTATTTGATATAATGGTTTACAAACGCAAAAGAGTCATTTATTAGAGTACTCAGTTAATCGATAAAATATTCGATAGAGTACTCGATTACAAAAATATTCGATAACTGCATTCCTAACTACAACTTTCAAAAAGTTAGCCTTTGATATCTTGTGTGTGTGTTAGAGCCCTGCACTGAAGCCCTCGGGTCTGCCCGGCCTGAGGGCCGTCGGGCCAACGACTGTGTAATTACCTCGGACACAGGCCGGGCCGGGCGCCTTTATTTTTAATCAAATTCATAAAAAAAAATTGAAACACTTAAACCAGGGGTCGGCAACCTGTTCCCATCAAAGAGCCATTATTACCCGTTTCCCACAGTAAAGAAAACACCGCAGCAGCCGCGGCGTTGTGGGCGGGGCCTACCCTCAGACAGCAGAGCGCTGCTCACAACAGGTGACAGCAGCCGGTACCGGTCGCTCATGTACGTCAAAGCTATCTTTCATAAGAAGATATTCAATAAAATGATTTATACAAAGTGGATCCAGAAGTTGTAGCCCGTCTCTGCCGACAATATTTAGATATTTTTCACCCTGTTGGTGGTTTTACTGAGCAGGCGCCACTTTTGTCATACGTTTCTTTTTAAAACATGTTTAGACTGTTCAGAATACAAATCCAGGCTCTGTCACGTTTGATTGTTGTAATTAAACTTTGTAGGTGGGGGAGGTCAGAAAAGGATCCGATCATTTTGTTTTTCCCTCATTTACAGTGACGGAGATAACGGCGCAGTGCGCCTGGCTCTGGTGTCAATCAAGTGAAATTATATCTCTTTGCAACAATTTTCACAAGAAAACAGAACAGTTAAAAGCAGGGCTTGTGTTGACCGGACAATTCCCGTGTTTGGCCGTTTATTTTGACAGAGAAAGAATCGAAAGAATTACCCCGACACATGCAGACGAACTGACATTTTATTCCACTTAAATCGCAGATGTCGCTAAATCACTCAAGAAAAGATTCCCATCTGAACATCTGAGCTGGACACTGCTCAGCGCAGCTTAATTGTTTTTAAAACAAGAAGCAGAAAGTACAGTAAAGAAATCAGCCGTAACCGATCACTGCACAAGCATTCTCCGGTGAGTGCTCCACAGTAGGGCTGCAAATTACATTGCATTGCATCGTCACTGTGATATCGGTATGTGCAATATGCATATTGCAAAGAACAGAACCAACTGCAATGAATGGTCCGCTCAAATGTTTGCAACACATAATGCATTTTGTCAAACGGATGCATAACGTTTTTGACTAATCAAATGGAGCTTTTCACCAAATTGGCCAATCAGTTGGGTTCTTATTGGTTAGATGCCAGCCCCCCAGTCAGGGGTTGGTAATCTTTTCCCATTAAAGAGCCAGTATTACTCGTGGGTGGGGCCTACCTCACGGGAGACTGGGTTGGACCTGTCTACCGGACCCTCCGACCGCACCAGCAGGAAAGAGGAGTTAAGTGTCGTGCCCGAGGACCCAACAGCGGCAGAATGAGCGGGGCTCCAACCTGCAACCTTCCGATCACAAGGCAGGCACTGAACTCCTGTGCCACTGTGACTGGGATGGTACAAATGTGACTTCAACTTTCTCCTGAACAGGTTTACCTTGGTCTTCAGAATTTCTCGGTACACTAACGGGTGTCCACAGTTAGAGGGAGCTTCGTCTTTAAGACTTGAAAGATACTGATGTCAGTTGCTGTTTGGCTCATGGGCACTAAAGACAACAATAAAGCCCTCCACTTAGCCCGTCCACTGTCCAGTTCTGGGACACAGCAGGTGGAAAGTCTAGTTGAGGTGTGAGCTGAGGTGGGGGGTAAACTTGTGTGTTGGTGTTTCTGTACAGAGTGGTGTTCTGACTATCAAGGTGGGCGGGGTCCATGGGACCTATGTCATCAACAAGCAGACACCCAACAGACAGATCTGGCTGTCTTCTCCCACCAGGTAAGAGTGGAGAGTACTGATGTCGATCACGTGGTTTGAGAGCCGGATCGGGCGTTACGTCCCGATCCGGACTGGTATACAGGGTTCAAATGAACAGAAAAAGGGTTCCCACGCGTCCTGGAAAACCTGGAAAATGATTGTCCAATTTTCCAGTCATGGAAAACACATGGAAAATGGGGGGAATGGCAAAATGTCCTGGAAATTTTTGAGTTGTCCTGGAAAATAATTTTCCCTCCTTGTGGATAAACAAACGGATTATTGGGCAATATTGGGCTGCAGCGCTTCTCCTTTCATTTCTGCATCTAGCTGGCACAGTGCCCCACATGACGCTTCCAACCAATCAGATTGCATATTCCCCTTCAGTTCCAGTTCCACTTCTGTTTTTCTAACTGTCTTTTTTGCTAGATTTACAGATTTTTTCTCCCCTAGATTTATTTCTCCAAAGAAGGGCCAAAAGTAGCGACTCGGTTCACGAGTATTGCTTTATTGCAGTTTATAGAGTGAGAGGTTTTTCTCCTCTCTGCTGAGTGACAAAGGAGTAGCGGAGAGCTTTTGTTTTTTTCACTCATACGTTGAGACGAGCGAACCTGACGAGAGCTTCGGGATAGCAACGGATAGCAGGTAGTCTACCGGACCCGCACTCCACTCAGTAATTCATACTAGTTCTATCGTCCGACAGCAGAAACAAAAATATGTGAATGATAAAAATTTCATGAATTTGATTCTATCAAAAATACTAAGTATGTGCTCAGAGGACAGAGCCTCAGCTGTTCATACTGTTTTTAGCTAGCTACACAGACCGCAGCCAGGAGGCAGTGAGAACTGAAGACTGGCATGGTCGTTTGAACAAAGTTGTTAACGTAATTAAATTGAGTTCAACATGGCTAAATTAATAACTAGAATGATTTTCAGTGGCAACTATATATTTATCATAGTAATGCTACGTACAGTCCAGACTAAAAAAGTAGCAAACAACTACAAGTACTTATCTCTGAGGTAGAAATTTTTTTTTCTCAGGTCCAATATGTCTGTGGTGTTAGCGGGAGATATTAGCCTAGTCATCTACCCTGAATCTTGTTTCTGGATGATTGGACTAACCTAAAATGACCAATACTGGAACAACAAAATGCAGTTGAACATCCAACTATGTGAAATAAGCAGTAAAGTGTAATGTGGTGTGTACAGTAAGTATAATACATAGAATATGAAAGAGCTAAGGTTTGAAAAGCAGGCCTAATTTATTGAATAAACAGTCAATATAAACAGTAACAATCTTTCAAAATATGTCTTTGTGTCCTTTATAGGCAGGAGAGTGTGATGTCAGGAAGACGGTGCAAATTCAAAACTTTTCAAAACTGGCTTTTTGCTAGCCCCAAGACTCTCTGCCTGTGTGTTGGGGTTTACCCCGGGGGACGAGAGGGTAGCTTCCCTGTGCCTTCGGGTCGGGGAACGGGTCCTGACTGTTGTTTGCGCTTATGGGCCAAATATCAGTTCAGAGTACCCACCCTTTTTGGAGTCCCTGGGACGAGTGCTAGATAGTGCTCCATCAGGGAACTCCATTGTCCTGCCGGGGGACTTCAATGCTCACGTGGGCAATGACAGCATGACCTGGAGGGGTGTGATTGGAAGGAACGGCCCGCCTGATCTGAACTCGAGTGGTGTTTCATTATTGGACTTCTGTGCAAGCCGCAGTTTGGCCTTAACGAACACCATGTTCGAACATAAGGATGCCCATCGGTACACTTGGTACCAGGGCAGCCTAGGTCGCAGGTCGATGATAGACTTTGTAGTCTAATCATCTGACCTACGGCCGTATGTTTTGGACACCCGAGTGAAGAGAGGAGCGGAGCTGTCAACTTATCACCACCTGGTGGTGAGTTTGATCAGCTGGTAGGGGAAGATGCTACATAGACCTGGCAGACCCATACGCATAGTGAGTGTCTGCTGGGAACGCCTGGCAGAAGAACCTGTCAAGACGGTCTTCAACTCCCACCTCTGGCAGAGCTTTGACCGCGTCCCGAGAGCAGTGGGGGACATTGACTCCGAGTGGGCCTTGTTCCACTCCGCGATTGTTGAGGCGGCTGCTGTTAGCTGTGGTCGCAAGGTGGCCGGTGCCAGTCATGGTGGCAACCCCCGTACCCGCTGGTGGACACCAGAGGTTCGGGGAGCCGTCAGGCTGAAGAAGGAGGCCTACAAGGCGTGGCTGGTCTGTGGGTCTCCGGAGACAGCAGACAGGTTCCAGATATCCATGCGGGGTGCAGCAGTGGCAGTTGCCAAGGCAAAATCTTGGGCGTGGGAGGAGTTTGGTGAGGCCATGGAGAAAGACTATCGATCGGCTCCAAAGAGGTTCTGGCAAACTGTCCGGCGCCTCAGGAGAGGAAGGCAGCAACTCGCTCACACTGTTTACAGTGAAGATGGGGAGCTGCTGACGTCAACTGGGGCTATAGTCGGACGGTGGAAGGAATACTTTGAGGAGCTCCTCAATCCCTCCTACGCGCATTCCGAGGAGGAACCAGAGCCAGGAGACCTGGAGATGGACTGTCCAATCTCAGGGGCAGAAGTTGCTGAGGTAGTCAAACAACTACACAGCGGCAGAGCCCCAGGGGTGGATGAGATTCGTCCTGGGTATCTCAAGGCTATGGATGTTGTAGGGCTGTCATGGTTGACACGTCTCTGCAACATTGCGTGGTCATCAGGGGCAGTTCCTGTGGAGTGGCAGACTGGGGTGGTGGTCCCCATCTTTTAGAAGGGTGACCTGAGGGTGTGTTCCAACTATAGGGGGATCACACTCCTCAGCCTCTCTGGAAAGGTCTACTCCAAGGTACTGGAGAGGAGTGTCCGATCGATAGTTGAATCTCAGATTGAGGAGGAGCAATGTGGTTTTCGTCCTGGCCGTGGAACTGTGGACCAGCTCTATACCATTGCAAGGGTGGTGGAGGGGGCATGGGAGTTTGCCCAACCAATACACATATGTTTTGTGGATTTGGAGAAGGCTTATGACCGTGTCCCCAGGGGCACCCTGTGGGGGACGCTCCAGGAGTATGGGGTGGGTGGCTTACTGTTAAGGACCATTCAGTCCCTTTACCAGAGGAGCGTAAGTTAGGTCCACATAGTTGGTAGTAAGTTGGACCTGTTCCCGGTGAGGGTTGGACTCCGCCAGGGCTGCCCTTTGTCACCAGTTCTGTTCATTACCTTTATGGACAGAATTTCTAGGCGCAGCCGTGGTGTGGAGTGTGTCGAGTTTGGTGGCAGGAGAATCTTGTCTTTGCTTTTTGCGGATGATGTGGCCCTCCTAGCTTCATCCAGCTCTGACCTTCAGCTCTTGCTGGGTAGGTTCGCGGCCGAGTGTGAAGCGGCTGGGATGAGGATCAGCACCTCCAAATCTGAGACCATGGTTCTCGACCGGAAAAGGGTGGCTTGCCAACTCCAGGTCGGGAGAGAGGTCCTACCTCAAGTGGAGGAGTTTAAGTATCTCGGGGTTTTGTTAACAAGTGAGGGTAGGAGGGATCGGGAGATCGACAGGCGGATTGGTTCAGCGTCTGCAGTGATGCGGACGTTGAGCCGATCTGTCGTGGTGAAGAGGGAGCTGAGCCAGAAAGCCAGGCTCTCGATTTACCGGTCAATCTACGTCCCAATCCTCACTTATGGTCATGAGCTTTGGGTAATAAACGAAAGAACGAGATCGCGGATACAAGTGGCCGAAATGAGTTTCCTCCGTAGAGTGGCCAGGCTCAGCCTTAGAGATAGGGTGAGGAGCTCGTACATGCGGGAGGGACTCGTCGTAGAACCGCTGCGCCTCCTGATCGAAAGGAGTCAGTTGAGGTGGTTTGGGCATCTGGTCAGGATGCCTCCTGGACGCCTCCCCGGGGAGGTGTTTCGGGCATGTCCTGCCGGCAGAAGGCCCCCGGGTCGACCCAGGACACGTTGGAGAGGTTACTTCTCCAATCTGGTCCGGGAACGCCTTGGGGTCCTGCCGGAGGAGCTGGTAGAGGTGGCCGGGGAGAGGACGGTCTGGAGCTCCCTAGTTGGGATGCTGCCCCTGCGACCTGGACCCGGATAAGCGGAGGAAGACGACGACGATTTCAATCAGCACAGTGAATTAACCTGGTTCAGTTGCTGAGCAGAACAAAAACAGGACATGGAGATGACTTGATGATGCCACAATGTCACATCTCTGGTATGAACTAAAGTAGAGAATTACTTCTGTTTTAGTTGTGTTGCATTGTAAGCAGAGGAAAGCAGGTGGGATTGTGAAAGACAAAAATCTTTCCACAACTATATTGTCAAAATAACGGTATAGGTAGGTACAATATCATATATGTTTCTAAATATATCGGGATATCGGCAAACCGTAGTTATGATAACTTGACTTGTACACTGAAAAAGTCTTGAAAATGTCCTGGAAAAGTCCTGGAAAATAATTTCAAGAAAAGAGTGGGAACCCTGAGAAAGCTAAGGGGAGCCTGGTTCTCCTGACAGGCTGTTGGGAACGTACACACCTAGAGGGAGCCCGAAAAAAGACTCTCAGCCTAGCGGGGATTCTCTAGAGGAGACACAGAGCGGCAGCGTGCATTATTCACGCGCTCCAGGCAGCTGCATTGTGCACACGGCCACAGGAACATTTTCAAAGTGGCGACATCCAAAAAATATATAACCCACGATTGTTCGTGACGACAGGAAAACTGGAAAATAAAACCAATAAAACTAAAGAAAGCTCTGTAGGTAGATTTATCCCACTACACGTTTTTAACTTTAGACAGCGATCATTTATCAGCAGTTTGGGAGAACATTTTGTAAGTGGTTACAGAATACTGAACATGTGTTTTGTAACATATTCCATTACTTTGCTTAATCCTGGTACTGTATTCTAAATACTTGGAATACTTCCCTTAAAATCAGCATTTAAGTCTATTAAATATCACCGTGTGCGTCGGTGGCTGCTGCCACAGGAAAACAGAGGACATGTTTATGCTAAAAAATATGAACTGACTGGAAAAATG